GAAAGGGAGGGCACCTGAGGGTGTGGGGAAGCTGAGGCCCAGAGAGGGAGGCTGCCCACGGCCACGGGGATGTGGGAGCGGGGCTGGCACAGAGGGGGCTCCGACTGCGTCCCATGTGCCTGCTGCGTCATGGCCCACGCTCCTGGGTGCTCATGGTGCTGGTGTGGTGCCTCCTTCTACGAAGCCGATGCGTGGCACCCAGCGTGCAGACATCACACACACACACACACACACACACACACACACACACACACACGGTCACTTGGGTCTGGGTGTCGCTAACGTGAGGGATGCAGGGCCCTTGCCCAGGTAGCAGGCCAGGCTGGACCAGGTTCCTGGCCCGGCACCCTTCCTCCTCCACAGCGCTGTGAGTTGCGCTGCACTGCCCATACTATAGACTCCATAGGGCCACACGCGCCCTTCCCCCACGGGCACTGGTCCCTGCCTGCCTGTCTGCCTGCCTGGGGGCTGCTGTCCCAGGTGCTGAACACAGCGGGTGCCCATGGGGAAGGAGCCTGCCTGAGGCTCCCTGACTCTCCCAAGAACCGTGAAGGCAGCTGTACACCGAGTGACGGTTGTCAGCACTGGAAAACACAAAGCAAAGCAGTATGGGGCGCTTCTAGAACGGGTCACCTTTGAGCAAGGCTTGCAGGAGGCTCGGGAGGGAGCCGTGCAGGGACCTGGGGAAGCGCCTCCAGGCAGGGCTGAACATGGGGTGGGGGGAGAAGCCCTGTCTACGCCCTGGGCCGGGGCTGAGTTTATAGTCTGTCTGGAGGCTCAGAAGCCTCCCTGGTTTAAAGCAGGGGTGGGTCCGGAGCTGGTTTGGCCCAGTGGATAGAGCGTCGACCTGGTGACTGAAGGGTCCCAGTTTCGGTTCCAGTCAAGGGCACATGCCCGGGTTGTGGGCTCGATCCTTAGTGTGGGGCGTGCAGGAGGCAGCCGAACAATGACTCTCACTGATGTTTCTGTCTGTCTCTCCCCTCCCTTCCTCTCTGAAATTAATAAAAATATATTTAAAATAAAAGCAGGGGTGGGGAACATCGACTCACAGGCCATATAAGGCCTGAAAAATTGTTTGGTCTGGCCCTGCCAAGGCATTAGGCCAGTTAATTAAATGTTTGACCAACTACAGCAGGCTGCTTTTCAAGTTGATGATTGTGTCTGGCCTGAGGATGATGTTACAAATATCCAAACGGCCCTCGACAGAAAAAGGTTCCCCCCTGGTTTAAAGGCAGCTGTGAGGAGGGAAGGCTGGCCTGACCCACGAGCAGCTGAGCAGACCTTGCAGGCTGAACCGGTGGTTGGCGGGGAGCAGCCCACACAGGTGACGGCAGGGCGTGCTGGGCCAGACTGGGGTGCCAGGCAGAGGTCCCTGGAGGAGGGGACGTGACGGGTGGTCCCTCGGCGACAGGAGGCAGCGAGGTGACCTGGGGGGCTGCTGCTGTGGACCAGGAGATGAGGGTCTGGACTGGTCATGTGCTGGGCACAGAGGGGAGACTCGTGTCACATGGGACTGGACGGAATCTGGGGGGCAGGGGAGACCAGGAGGTGGCACCTGGTCAGAGCTGGCGACCCAGAGGGCCGATGTCATGGAGGTCAGAGATCCCACAGGAGCCATGGCCTAGGGGACCCCGTGCACAGAGGACGGCCAGTCCCCAACCAGACAGACGGCTCACAGATAGGACAGCAGCCCACCAGGGCGTCGGGGTCTCCTTTCTGCTCATTCTCCCTGGGGCTGGGTTCTCCCTGCCAGGGGAGGGGCGGACCCCTGCATGGCCCCGTCTGCTGGTTGCCGCCCGGTGATGCTGGCGCACAGCCAGCCCTGGGCATGTGGCGGCAGCCCGAGGGATTACTCTGCAGCTGTCTCAGGACTGGCGTTTTCCACTGGCATCTCACGGGGAGGTGCCTGCCTGGAGAACGCGGCCTGGGGGCCGGGAGCTGCTGGTTGAGCCCCGTGCCCTTGGTAAAGCGGAGAAGGGGAGGGGTGAGTGCTGGAGAAAGGCCCTTCCGCCCCTTCCTGCATGCTTGAGCGCAGGCTTCCCAGGGCCTTTGCCCCGGATCTCCGAGGGCTGCCAGACACTTACCACAGGAGGACGCCGGCAGAGGTCCCCCAGCCACGCCCTGTTCAGCATCTATTTCCTGAGTGTGGTCTGTGGTGCTGGGAGTACCGTGTGGGTGGTCAGCCTGGGCTCACCTCACAGCAGCAGCCAATACCGACAGCTTGGAAACTACCACGTGTTAGGACGCAGTGAAACCAGGTGACCCCGAGCCTGGGCCCCCTCTTCCCTGTGGGGGACCACAGGACTGAGGGCTGGGACCTGATGAGGAGCCCCTTTGACCAATTGGTGAGGACGCTCTGGGCTGAGCCTGCCGACCCCCAGCCCCAAGGTGGCACAGCAGAGCTGGCGGGGGGGACCCCCGGGCAGGCGCCGTGCTCCGGGCCTGGGGAGGAAGGTCCGGCTGAGCAGGCCTCTCCAGGTGACCCCAGCCACGTGTCTGAGGAGATGTACGGGGGTGTGGTTGGGGGTGTGGGGGGCAGGTTTCCGCGGTTCCCTCTGATCTAGTTGCACAGACCGGCTTCAGAGACAACAGGGACATGGCCCAGCCCCACACATTTACTTCTGCTCTGTCCGTGGCCACACGAGCTCTCTTGGTGGAACTCGCGTGTGCGGAAGACTTGATAGTGGGGGCGCATGTGTGCGGGGCTGCTGGGAACACGCTGACTTGGGTGACCTCACTGGTCCAGGCCCAGGCTGCCTCCCAGCATTTTCTTCCTGCAGCTCCGTGGTGTGGGCTGCACCCTAAGTGGCTGCTGGTCCCACCCTGAGCGCTTGGCGGCCCCGCTCGCTGCTCAGCGGGTATTGCCCACCTCAGGTGGTCTTGTGGGCCCTTGTGCAGGGAGCGGCAGGTGGAGGACAGTGAGGGAGGTGGCAGTGCAGGCTGGGCACCACCAGAGCCCCCTGGGGCGGCGTGCTGCACTTCCCGGAGCCCCGCATGGCCGGGGTCAGGACGCACGGATGGGGAAAGGGCTTCACTCTGAGGTGTGCCTTGCGGCTCTTTATCTGTCCTGTCCACCGTGGCCCGTGGCCATGCCCGGCTTCCTTCCCGAGCGGTGCCCTGACCTTAGTCCTCGCAGCGCCTGGGAGGCGTGACTCAGCCCGTGTTCAAGGGAGGGAGCAGAGGCACAGAACGTGAGCTGGTAACGCGCAGGCCTGTCTCCAGAGCTGGCGTCTCCCGGCTCCCAGCCGCGCCCGCTGGGTGGTGCACATGCTGCCTTTGCCGGTTCCGTTCCTTGGTCCCCCGGGAAGTAGCTGCTCACAGAGGAGCCCGATCTCCCGCAGGATGTCCGGAGAGCATTTCACACGTGACCTGCTCTGTCGGGACAGAGCCTCATCCCGGTCGGGAGTTTCCGGGACAGCCCTCCTCCGCCCGTGTCCTCTCGAGGTCCGGGTGACTTCCTGCTGTGCTGTGGACGGCAGGTCACACTCCCACTGCCAGCGGGCCCTGCAGGTGTGGCCTCACCTGGGCTCCCAGTGCTTTCCCTCCCGTCCCTTTCCTCCTCCTCTCGCTCTCGCCACACCTCCCCCCTCCCCTTCCCCACCTTCCTGCCTGAGGTGTTTGTTGTTGTTAAGATACATGACAACTAGTGTAAGATCTTTCATGAAGTGGGAGGGCCCGGCTCCCAGTGACACACGCCCCGGGGGCCCACACACTCGGTCCTGCCTGTTAAGTCAGCTGTCATATGGTGACTTGGGGCTGCACGCCCTGGCCCCTCTGCGTCCATGCGGCTCAGCGCCTCTTGTCTTGCAGAACACGCAGTGCATCCCCAACGGGCTGGCGGCCTACTACGCGGAGCAGGACCCGCACTCCCCGGACAAGTTCTACGCGGTGGTGAACCACTACAACCTGGCCAAGCAGAGCATCACGCGCTCCGTGTCGCCCTGGATGTCCGTGCTGTCGGAGGAGAAGCTGTCGGAGCAGGAGACCGAGGCTGCGGAGAAGGCCGCCTAGCCGGTGGGCAGTTCCTGACGGGGGGCCACCTGCAGGCGACAGAGGGACTCAGAGGGACATTTCATTAAATATAATTACCGGTAATTTAGAGGTTACTCATTATGGTGCAACCGCTTCCGTCTGCTAATGCTGCTTTGCAAATATAACTTGCAGCCCACCCCGGGCATCCCCGGCGTGTGCCGCGCTGCCTGGAGGGCTGGCGCCACTTTCCGCGGGAGGAGCCTTCACGTAGCTGCTGCGCTGCGATTGATTGGATGTGGCCAAAAAACAAACTTACACTGGACATGCGAGGGGTTTGGATTTCAGACAAATAATGTGTTTGTGGAATTTTTTTTAAAATCCTCACCTGAGGATACACTTTTTTAAATTGATTTTTAGAGAGAGAGAGAAGCTTCGATGTGAGGCAGAAACATGGATCAGTGTCCTCTAGTGCTCGCCCTGGACGGGATCAAACCTGCAGCCTGCTGGTGTGCGGGCTGACGCTCCAACCTACTGAGCCACCTGGCCAGGGCTATTTGGGACCTAATGCCCCAGCCACTGAGAGCAAGCGGTGCTCCCGCTCCCGCCAGACGGCACCAGTGTGAGCTGTGCAGAGGACGTGTGCCACCAGGTCACTGTCAGGCCCAGTTTTGCTCGAGTGCATGTCATTGAGTCAGTGGGTGGGGAGGGGCCTCGGGAAGGGTGACCTGGGCCCGGGCTGCAGAGCGCCCTGTCCCTGTAGTCGTCCTGCTCGTGATGTGTTGGTTGAACAGGAACGCAGCCCACGGGCCCCCTCATCACTTCTGTCCTGAATACTGGCGCACCAACAGCCCTATTGGCAAGTTAGTTTTTAAACAGATAGTTGGGTGGGAAAAGTGAAAGTGTCATTGCTGGGGGCCAGGGCACTTTAACTTAATTTTGTGAAACAGATGTAACTCCTTCGACGGCAGAAGCAGGCAGGAAAGGCTGGGGCGGGGCTGGGCGGCACCTCGCAAGTCCAGTTATGACATTTCAACTCACAACCTTTGTAAGAATGTTGTTTCAACCGAATCTTGACATTAAAGTATATGTTTATAAACTGCCAGTTAGATAAGTAAGTGTGTAAGACGATTAAATAGAACTAAGACATCAGCCATTCCTTCCGTGTTACTTGAGCGTGTCGTGTCTGGTGGACGTGTCACAGGTGCCGTTTTTAGTGGATCAGGAATAAATGACCGTGAGACCCGCTGCGAGCACGTGGCTTCCTGAGGTGCGCGCTGACGCAGTCGCTTTCTCACCACGCGTGTCCGGAAAAACCGTGCCTGGAAAGGGCCCGCGCACGCAGGGCAGGGGGCCTGCTGCCTCGCGTGCTGCGGAGCTGTGGGTGCCCACGCTTGCACACACAGTGATGACCACGGGGCAAAGGGTTCCCACACCTGCTTCCTGTAGGCAAGTTCACGGGCCGAGGCAGCCCCGTTGCAGTTTCGAGCAGACGGACTTTATTGGTTGTCGTTCATTTACACAGAGAACACGGGGGTCCCCGAGACTGCCCAGCAGACTGTCTGCACAGCACGCATTTCGCAGGCCCAGGCCCAGGACGCTGTGTGCAGAGGCGGCTCCAGCCCGCGCTGCCATTACGGACGGTCCCACACGTCTCCGAGGGCGGCGGTGCACAGCGAGAGCAGCAGGCCCGAGCTCTGGGGCCCGTCCCTTCTCCGAACAGAAGCTCCCTGGGCCCCAGCGGCAGGAAGTCAGGCCGCGCCTCCTCTGAGCCCCGAGATGCCGGTGGAGCGAGACCTGCGGTGCCCTCCGGGCGCAGCCCCTCCACAGCTGCCTCCCGCTAGACAGGGTAACACCCTCCCATTTCCCCATCTGCCCTTGTTCATTGTTCTCGTTCAGCTACTCAATGGGCTTAAAGCTCCAGGCTGGTTTGTGTCCCTTTCGTGGAGCGTGTGTCTCAGCGCCGCAAAAACAGACCTGGCCAGGACCCAGCACAGGCCGCGGAGGCCGGGCCGGCGCCCCGGAGCGGACTAGCCGTCGTACCAGTCGAGGAAGAGCAGGGAGAAGGAGCACATCACCAGGAAGAAGAGCACCCATACGCGGAAGCCCGCGTTGTTCTTGATGGCCTGGGGGCAGAGACAGGCGTTTCCTGGGTTCCGGGCACAGGGCTCACAGACCGCTTCCCTCCTCCCCGCCCCATGGCTGTCCAGCCTCTCATCCCTCCTTCCCCCCATGGCTGTCTGTCCAGCCTCTCATCCCTCCTCCCTACCCCATTGCTGTCCAGCCTCTCATCCCTCCTCCCCGCCCCGTGGCTGTCCAGCCTGTGCTCACCCTCAACGGGCGGCTAATGATGAAGCAAAACCAAGAGGTCGGTTTGAACCCACGAGAAGACAGGGCGGCCCCTCCCTCCCAGGTCGCCATCATCCAGGTCCTGCACAACCTCCTGGGGACCCGCCCCCGGAGACGGCCCCTGTGCCAGGGTTGAGACTGAAGGCACAGACTCAGGGCTCCCGCTCCTGGCTGGGGTCCCAGCCATGGGAGAGCGTGGCCTCGGAGGAGTCCCAGGCCAGCTCAAAGCCCAGCCACACTCCTGACAAGGTCCCTCCACATTGGCCTGGGGCCTCCGTGCACAGCGCCAGCTCTGCCCCTTGTGGGGTCTGACACGTGTCTCCAGGAGCACCACCTCTGGTTCAGGGAGCGGGTCAGGCCCTGTGGGAGCACCCAGGCTCCTCTGGGCAGCAGGGGGCCCTGGGCGGCGAGGTCAGCAGCCCTGCTGGAGGCTGATGCTACTGCCGACCATGCTGTGCCAATCAGACTGGGCCTGGAGCACCCACCTCTCTGATGTCCTCGTTGCCCTCCTTGATGTTTTCAGTGGCGCCCACGACCAGCTGGTGGATGCTGTCAATCTCTGCTTCCTGGAGGACAGGGCAGGTGAGCACTCCCCCGCCTCCCCTCCCCACCCCTGACGTCAGTATGGACTGCAGTGGCCGCTCACGAAGGGCCGGTTTACACACACGAATCCGTGCACCCCCACAGCACCCCCACGTTACAGAAGGGAACTTAAGGCTCAGAGAAGTTTAGTAAGTTGTCCAAAGTCACACAGCCACCCAGTGCAGGACAGGACTGGACCCCAGTGCTTGCACCCCGCCCAACCTCTGCCTGCCTCCTCTCCTGCCCACGGCCAGGGAATAGGTAAGAGCGGGGATCAATGGAGCGGCCCCCACGCCGGGCGCCCTAGTCTCACTCTTGGGAAGTGCGGAGAAGCAGCTTCAGATGCACGTGCTCTCAGATGTGCTGGCTTCACGCACGTGCGCTGCCTCACCTGTGGCTAAGGCTCAAACTTAAATATCACAGTAATACGCAGGGTGTCTGCAAAACATCTACCCCCAACACTTGGGACGCTTCAGAAAGGCAGGTCCTGATCTTCCCGTGGAGCCCCTGTCCAAGCAGCCCCCAGCCCGGCACAGGCAGGCACGGCCGGGGGCTTGGGGCTTGGGGCCGCCTTCCTTTAGGGGAGGGGGAGAGTGTGTGTGAGCGTATGTGCACAGTGTGCATGTGTGTGAGTGTGTACAGTGTATGTGTGAGAGTTTATGCGTAAAGTGCCTGTGTGAAGTGTGTGTGTGTACAGTGTGTGAGTGTGTGAAGTGGGAGGGAGGGAGGGAAGGGCTGTTCAGAGCGTGGGTTTGGGGCAGCCTGATGGGCACCGTGCTGTGGGGGACGCAGCCTCCAGCCACCTGACCCAGCAGTGAGTGTGACACTGGGCACTGCCCGCTGCTGTCACCTCTTAGAGTTAGGAAGTGGGAGCTTGAGAGAATCAACGTGAGCAACGGCAACACAGGTGACAACCCCCAGGCAGACCTGACTCCTCAGGCCTGGAAACTCGCGAAGCCAGGGAGGCACCGCCTTTCAGACCCTGCACGGGCCGTGGAGGCTCCAACCAGGGCAAGTGCAGCAGGTCGGAAGGCGTGGCCAGCCGCTGGCTGGAGGCTGTCAGAGCTGCAGGCAGACGCGGCCCGGACACCACGGATGAGAACCCCGGTTCCCGGAGGGCCGCGCAGCTGAGGCGGCCGGGGCGGCACCTGGAGGGCGGG